GAAAACTGAAATTTTGAGAGGATGTTCTCTATTCACTTGCAACCAAAAGATTTCAAATTCTGCCCCAACTTATATTCCGCTTCAGCTCAACAAGCAATACGTAATAAAAAAACGCTTTCTCCATTTCACAACCACGGCTTGATTAAGCGGTAACACCGCTTACCTGTCGTACTTTGACACAATTAACAATTATTATGGAGATGCGTAAAATTTCTTACGACAAATTCATCAACAGTTCTTGGAAGTCTGAAAGATGCAATAACACAAACGCGAACAACCCGTGCATTCACCTTGATAACACCTTGAAGATGAATCATAAGAGTTGCCCAAATACAGAAGACAAAAAAGTTACCGCTCGGTTCTCCGTTCAAGATTGATAAGATAAATTTTATCAACACCAAATAATGACGCCCTTGGATAAGTAACTTTCAAAAATGATGAATGAGCAAACGGCATCAAGCCACTATCAGCAATCCAATCAGCGAGCAAATAACGCAGCTGCAAAGAAAAAAAAAACAAATTTTTGCAACTGCAATGTTGAAATATGAAAAAGGACCACATTCCAGCAACTGCCTCAATAAACATGCACAGTACAGCAATTCGCTAGTTCTACACGCCCAGAAAAACAGCTTTATTCATAATAAATACAGGCCAACACTTCTATTCAAGAATAACATTTTTTTCAAATGCATTCTTTTTTTGCCTATTAACTACTTGGAATTAACAGATCCGAATAAGCACGAATATACCAACCAGTTTGCGTTGGTAATCTAGTGATCGCAACGAGTGATCAAAAAAATATCCATAAAAGAATTCATTATCCACAAAAAAAGATATGCCCATGCGGGATGCCGAATTCGCGAAAACATCTTTTGGATATCTGGAATCCTCCGCTGGATAGCTGTGTAGATTGTCCGATGAAAATGTCAAATACGACGAATCGATATGCGCTAAATTTAGCAACAATGGCTCCGGCATTTCGTTAACCTGCAAACACAGTACGTCAAATCATAATAAAAATTGCTGTAAACATTTTCGAAAATTTTAATTTCGCGACTATATAAAGCTGCGCAGATGCGATGGGCACAAGGCCAGTGGAGGAACTTGACAGATGTGAAACGACAGCGAAAAGCATCACAACTATGAAATTTTGTTCGAGGCTTCAGTAGAAGGAAATTTCTGAATTAAATCAAATTTTTTTTTGAAGTCCTACCTCACAAATTGGAACTTCCTACTTTCTTTTTAATTTTTAGCAAAAGTTCAGGAGGCGCTTTTTTGCAAA